TCTTCTTCACAGAGCCTACTCGATCTGTTTGGATTACATCTCTGTTCATAATGAAATAGCTTTCCTTCAGAACACCTTAAGAAAAAAATGGGCATCCTCCATCTTTACTAGAAAACTGAACATGTAACTTTCTTACTAAGAAAAGAACTCCACCGAATAATATAAAAGCATGTTCCAAATTCCCTCTAACACTTGTTATTCCTTATCTTGGAAAACAAAGTCTTATTGTTAAACCCCAACTCAACAAATTACTCAGTTCTTCTACCCCCAGATTAAACTCCGTATTGTTTTCAAATCGCCACTTCGTATCACTAACTTCTCTAGAACTAAGGACATTTTACATTTACTCCTACGTTTAAATGTCATATATAAATATACATGTGGTAGCTGTAAAGCCACCTACATTGGCATGGCTTCTCGCCATTTACAAATACGCGCCTTGTAACATATGTGAGTTTCTAACAGAACTGGACTTAAACTTCAAACTCTGCCTGACTCTCCTTTTCTGTATATTATCACAACGAAACGTCATTGCACCCCATTTCCTTAGAAAACTTTTCAATTCTAACTTATAGATGTAATGATCACCAGTTGTTGAAAAAAAAAGAGAAAGTTTACATATTATGAACGAAAATCCAAAAGTCAATGGACATTCAAACTCGTTCCCTCTTGCTTTATTCAGATAGCTCTTTTTCATTGAATATTTTATAATTTCCTAACACTATTCATTGTATATTAGTAATTATACTTAATATGGTTCAATTGGTTATTTTATAGACTTGCTGAAGATGGAATATGTTTAATTTCGAAACGTTCATTAAAGATGTTTATAATTGTTGTAGTGGTAAAGACGTTCATTAAAGATGTTTATATATGTTGCCGTTGCTCTACTATTCGTTATCAGACTTCGTTTTCCACCAAATGTATCAGTTGTTACTACTAGTTATTGAAATGATGTTTTCGGATTCACGCAGTCAGCGCATGCGCGATACAATTGTCTATTCCGCACACACGAGTGGCCCCTTTCTGGTCCTGTTCATGAATAAAAAAGCAGAATTTTTCCTTCTTAGCCCTTAACTATATGTTTTAACTTGCCTGAAAGCAAAGTCTTTTTCCTCACAAGCATTTCTATAATTTGCACGGATACCTACTTATAATCTTATTTTGAAATATAATAACTTTATTTAAAATAATACTAATATGTAATTATCGGTTGTTGGTTTGCCTAGTATTAGGTGATCGTAATACATACTGTGAATTAATTAGATTTAATGGTTAGAGGTTCTAAGATCTATGTTTATCATGTATAATGAAGTTTTCTAGTGTTTAATAAAGCATTTTATTTAAATTTTTCCTGACATATGGTCTTGATCTATCTAGAAGTCTGACAGCATAAAGATATTTGCGTAATTGTGTAAGAATGTTGTGTTTGTGGTTCTTAGAACCCTGTAAGTTTTAGTGATTATCTTGTTTTTAATCGTCTTTAGTTTTGTTATATGTGACTTTGCTACATTTAACCATGTTTGGCAGGCATACTCTGCCACTGGACGAATGTAGGTCTTATAAAGTTTAAATTTATTTGCTGTTGTTGTGGCCATAGTGTTGCCAGTCAGACATAGTTGGCTCTTTGCCATGTTTCATGTTTTACCTCATTTAACTTTAATTTTCAACTTTGCTTACTCCAGTTTGATTTTGAGTTATAGGTTAGATCCATAAATTTAACATGTGTGGCTACTCGGAGAAGGGTTCCGTTTAGAAAAACTTTGGGGGAGGGGGGGGTGTCCACTTGTTTTAATAGATTTTGTGAATAATAGTACTTTTGTTTTTGGAGCATAATCTTTATTCTTCATATGTTACAATAATTTTCTATTTTGTTTATACTTACTTGCAAGTTAGTTGCTACTACAGCTGTAGTGGTTGAAGTTTTCCACATAACTACATCATCTGCGAACTGTTATTTGTTATCTATTAGGGGCATTTCACTCACATACATGAGGAGCTAACTTCCCCTCCTTTTTGCGGGAAACCTGCCTCTGAACTAAAATATTCAGAGAAGGTGCCAGACATATTAACTCTTACTTTCCTATTGTAAAGAATATCAGCCCGTGGCAGTTTCGTATTTGACATTTTAAACCGTAATCCATTGTGCCAAAAACTGTTGAATGCATTGTCATCATCCAGAAAGTAGGCGACAGTGTATTAATTCTTATTAAAGCTATTGGTTTGTTTGTTTGTTTTGAATTTCGCGCAAAGCTACACGAGGGTTATCTGCGCTAGCCGTCTCTAATTTAACAGTGTAAGACTAGAGGGAAGGCAGCTAGTCATCACCATCCACCGCCAACTCTTGGGCTACTTTTTACCAACGAATAGTAGGATTGATCGTAACATTTTAACGCCCCCAGCGATGAAAGGACGAGCATATTCGGGAACGGTATTCGAACCCGTGACCCTCGGATTGAGAGTCAAATACTCTAACCACCAGGTCCTGCCAGATGAAGCAAGAATGTAATAAAGCCACGTTATAACCCAATTTATATTTACCTTTTAGCTTGATGGTGATATTTGATACAACGACAGTTCCTTGTTTCAAATAGTCTAATCTCCTAAATCACACTAATTACAGAGGTCAATAATGAAACTAAACTAACTAGCTCAATTGTAGCAAGTGTCATCATTTATGGAAAAGTCATAAACCTTACGCCCATACACGTATTCCTCTGAACCCTTTCTAACCATATTTAAAGTAACCCTAAGCTTGAGAGTGTTGGATTGAAACTTGGCTAAATTACCAAGGGTCAGAAACACCCAGAGATTTATATCATCTAAGCGATAAATGTTATTTCTGAAGTTGAACGTATATGTGTGATACTGATAACAAACAATACTTTAAACTGAGTGACCAATAGACCAGCAGTTTGATAATGAATAGATCTGTATATATTTGTATAGTAGATTACTAAGTAGTTTTGTATAGTAAATATGGAAATATTTTTTGCTTAAACAACGTTGTGTATTCTTTGATAGATTGTTTAGGCAGAGTATTCATGATGAAACTAAGTAGAAGACGAAAGGCAGAAGACTTTCGAAACGTCGTCTTCTGCACTTGTGTTTCTACAACAGGCATTTGCCGTCAATTAAACTAATTTTCAACGTTCTATATTGTTGGTATTTAACAGATTACAAGAAATACCTTACTAAGATGTTTTAGTGAAGTATTATAATTTTTTGCTAGTAACATAACCCATATTTGTTTAAAGTTATTCATAGACAAAAAAAATCGATAACCAAAATTGTATTTAAACTTTTTGATTTGTACAAACAAAGTTAGCATCCCGCATAAATTCGCGATAGATTTTTAATCTAAAGATTATATACATGAAGGAAGCTTGTATTACAATATCCTTAATCTTGATTGAGAAAAAGTGTGTAAAGCGCGAATAATCACATTTGTAACGTCGGACAAATAGAGGGCGCCTTTTCTCCCGAACTGGTTAATATACAGGTCCTTATGTTAACCACTCGCACCAGTATATATAGAGTAGTGTGTTGTCTGTTGGTTAGTCAGTAGACACTAAAGTGACATCACATAAGGGACGCTTAACGTTACAGCTTGTACTGTCGTGACGTCAATAAAACGTGCGCATGCCAAGAATCACGAGAAGAATTATTATGCATATTGTAGTCTACAACACAGCATGATATATGAACTTTAAATTTTGGTTTTATTTACTCTTAAAACAAAAATACTTTCGGGGAACCTGCGGAAGTATTAGGTCGTCAAGAAATTAATGTCGCTTTTTTTAGATGAAAAAACCCGAACA